AAGAAAAGAAAAGAAAAGAAAAGAAAAGAAAAGAAAAGAAAAGAAAAAGAAAAGAGAAAAGAAAAAAAAAGAAAAGAAAAGGCAGAGAGATACATGAAACAAGATTGGGGTTCTTTATATTATACCATCAGGTTTTAGGTTTTCCATTAAAACTTTATTTTACTTTGTTTGTGTTAAGATTGAATGCTTTGGGACAAAATAGCTAATCTCAAGGAAGCCCAAGGAAAGAAATCATTTGAAAGACCTTCCTGCAGCCCAGATCTCCAAACTGAGTTAAGCACTTCTGGGCAGGTGCGCCCCACTCCTCCCCACGCCCCCCCCCACGTCCTCACCTGCCGCCGTGGACACGGCAGGACTGGGGCTGGAAGGAGGCAGGCAGAGAGGTCTGGTCATCTTCGAAGGAGATGTGGTCGCCCAGGAAGTTGGGGCCGGAGAAAAACTGAATCTGGAGGTAGAGACAGAAAGAGATGAGAATGGAGGGCGATGCAGTGGGAGAGAATGGGGAAAAGGAGACAGACCCCCACAGGCTCCTTACCTTTGAGACAAAATGCAGATTGTGCTCCCCGACCTGCAGGGAGGGCCCAAAGTTTCGAGACTCAAGGAGAGCGCCAGACTCTAGCCTCAGCTTCCCTACCCTTTCCACAGCACTCCCGCTTCTCAGGCAGGCATTAGCTCCGCCCCTTCCAAGAGGCCCCGCCCCACGCGCGCCGAGCCGGCTTCTTCCAGTCCCGCCCCCACCGCGGAAGCACCTCCCAGGCACTAAGCCCCTCCCCCATGGCCCCGCCCCCACCGCCGGCACGCACCTGCAGGACTGGCTGCAGCGAGGCGAGGGCGCTGTTGCCCGCTCCCCAGTCATCGCAGTTGCGGTACACGCCCTTCTCCAGGACGTACTGCTCCCCGGAGAAGCCCACCTTCTCATAGGCCACCCACCTGCAGGAAGGACGGGGCGCGGGTCAGCAGGGCGAAGCCGGCTTCTCCGCTGGAGCCGCTCCAGACCCGCCTAGCTCCCGGAGCCAGGGTCACTCACACGCCGCTGAGCACGTGGATGGCCTGCGTGTGGGGGCCGTGTCGCACCAGCTCCACGTCCGGCAATGCCTCGCTCACCTCCACGCCGTGCCCTTCGAAGTCCATGGCCTCAAACAGCACCACGGCCGGGTTCCCGAAGTCCTGGGCCCCAGGGATAGTCAGGTTTCTCCTACCCACCCACGGAAACCCCAAGGAGTGCCCAGGCCCCGCGGACGCAGCCCACCAGGGGACTTTGGAATGAGGCGATCAGTGAGTGTGGCCCGGGGAAAGGCAGCAGGCCGGAGAGAAGCTAGACCTCAGGGAACACTTCCAGCTGCTCTGGAGAACAGGGAAAGAGAGCACAAACTCTTCGCTCAACAGATTGTACTGGGGGGAGTCCGCCTGTACCCACAGGCAGAGGGATGGCCCAGTTGCTCCTGCTTACCGTCCGGATGACCCTCAGGGAGGTCAGCACCTCGTCATAGCCTCCCCAGTGTGACCAATCAGGATATTCCCCTTCCTCCAGCAGATACTGGTGGCCCCGGAAGCCTGCTTTCTGGTAGCCCACCCAGCTGGGGAAAGGCAGAGGCAGACAGACAGGGTCAGGGAAGGACCTCGGGTGGGTTAAGACAGCTGCCCCCACCCCTAGGCAGCCCGGGGCATTCCCCATCTCTGAGGGTAGAGGCCAGAAGGGAGGATGAAGTAGAAGGAAAGGTTCTGAGTCCTCACCAGCCCCCAAGAACTCGCAGGGACCCCACGGAGGCCAGGTGGGGGCTCTGGCTGTCCTCTGGCTGCTGAAGGTTGTAGATGTCTCTGCTTACTTCCCAGCTCTGGCCCTGAAAGCCTGTGGCTTCATAAACCACAACCTGGCAGAAAGGGTGGTGGGAGGGTTGTGGGGAGGCATCTGGAGCCAAATACACTCAGCCAGCCCAGATGGCTCTGCCCAGCGTCAGCCCAGAGCTAAGTCCTCCTACTCTCTCACTGAGCTCCATTCCCTTAGGTAACTCCTGCCTCTTCTCTGACCTCTGACCTGGTCCTTACACATCAGAAGCCATTTCCCAGTGAGCTCATAGGATTCCACCCTTCCAGACCCAGCTTCTCAGCTTCTGTTTCCCAGCATTCTCCTCTCCTGTCTTCCACTTCAGCCTATGAGAGCCATACAAATACACACAACCCACCCAAAGGCCCTCCTTGACCCTGCAGCCCAGACTCTTACCTTGGGCTCCCCTGGCTTCTCCACATTTGGGCAGCCCTGCAGAGGAGACAGAGCTGAGACACCAGCCCAGAGATAGAGGAAGACAGATGGGGCTGGTGACTCAGGAATTACTTGATCCTGAGACCCCCCTAAAAATGGCCAACCCCGTGACTTCCCTCTCCCCCATCCCTTGGGTTAATTCCCCCTGTCCTCAGCCCCCGTTCCCAGAAGCAGCTCCCAGGCCCTGCTTCTTCCCCCAGGCTCCAGGACTAGGTAACTTGGGACCACCTGCCCCTTACCAATCTCATGGGCTTTAAGGAGCCCACACTGGGGTCTGATGTACCCCAGGCCTCCGAGGTGGGGTATTCTCCAGGCTCCAGGATGTAGGGAGTGCCTTCAAAGAAGGGTTTAGGGTACAGCAGCCACCTGGTGGGGGGGGAGGCAGAGAGGCGGCTGTATCCCAGATACCCAGGGACACAGACTGGTGGATGGGGGGGAAGGCTTAGAGGGAAGAAGTTTTAGGAGAAGAGGCCCCCCCAGCAAGGGGATGCTGGGGGATATTTCAGGCCCCCATAATCTTTTTTTTTTTTATTTTTTTAAATGTTTATTTATTTTTGAAAGAGAGAGACAGAGACAGAGCACGGTGGAGGGGAGGGGCAGAGACAGACAGAAACACAGAATCTGAAGCAGGCTCTAGGCTCCAAGCTGTCAGCACAGAGTCTGAAGCCGGGCTCAAACTCATGGACCAAGAGATCATGGCCTGAGCCGAAGTCAGATGCTTAACCGACTGAGCCACCCAGGCACCCCAGGCCCCCATAATCTCTTGCAGTAACCACTCCATCAGTCCCCCTTCCTCTGGCCTGGCACTCTCTAATTTCATGCAGCAGCTGGAGAGTTCTCTCCTGCACACATACCCACTTAGGGACCCCAAGTAGTTCCCCGTTAGCCCACAATACAGCCCAGATGCACAGAGGCCCTTTGATCTGTCTCCCTGCCTTCTTCCTGGGCCTCACATCTCCCCACTTGCTGCCTTCTTGGGCCAGCCTGAACTTTCGAGGCTTAGATCTCTCACCTCTGGGCCTTTGCGGGTGTTGTTCCCTCTGCTAGATATACTCTTCCCCATTCAATTAACAAATATTTAGGGGCATCAACCCTGTGCTGGCCTCTGCTTCAGGCATCAGGGATACAGCAGTGAACAAAATATACAAAAGCCCTTCGTGCCCTGCTCTCACTGTGCTGAGATTCTTCTGGGGCCAATTCACCCCAGCTGAGGTGCTTCCTCCTCCAAGAAGGCTTCTCTGACTTCAGGTGCTCTTCTCTGGTTTGGTGCTTTTCTATGCTCCCCCATCCCAGAACTCTGCCACTGTCTTCTTACTCGACTGTTGCCTCCAGTAGACTAAGCACTTCTTGAGGGCAAGAGCTGTGTCCTATCACCTCTATGTCCCCAGCACAATGAATGCCAAATGAAGGGATTCCAGAATAGCCCAGACTCACAGTCCTGCAGAGACAGTGGCAGATGCCACCCGTAGGGGCCTCTCCAGGCCCTGGGGGTCCTCCAAGGCATCCGTCAGCTTCACTTGCTCCCCCTTGAGGCTCTCTTCAGAGTACAAGATGATCTCTGGGGTAATGTAGTCCTGCAGAAGGAGAGAGGTGGAAAAGGAAGAGTAAAACAGAACCCCTCAGAGACTACCTCCCCACCAGTATCTGCTTCCCCAAGTCTGTCCAGCCCAGGCCCCAGGGAACTTCTAGGAAACCTCTGTGGCCATCTCCGCAGAAGCCAGGAGGGTGACTGGGGTGTTCTCTGCAAGGTCGGCCACACAAGCCTGAGACCAAAGCCCTTTCTTTGGCGCTGGGCCTTCGGTACCGGTTACCAAAGTTCCCAGCAAGAGCCTGCCAATTGCCATGCCCCGGATAGCCTGATTTCCAGCCCGGTTGAGAGACGAACTGGATGGACAGCCACTTCCTGAGGCCTAACTTTGACTCTTCCTCTGTATACAATTCCCGCCCTTGTCCAGACTGGCTTTTACCCACATCTTATCCTAGGCAGCAGCGGATCCTATCTGCATTCTGGGTGTTTCTTCCCCACTAGGATCGTTTTCATTCCCTCACTCCTCATCAAACGCTTAGGAAGCATCTACTGAAGGCAGGGGACGATGCTAAGGGCGTGCCCCACCCCATCCCACTTGGCCCTCCCAACGGGAGTTATGACTCCATTCACAGGCTAGGAAAGTGAGGCTCAGTGAACTTGAGCGGGCTGCCCGAGGGCACAAAGCCTGTGCGTAGCAGGGCAAAGAACAGAGCAATGTAGTTTTTGTTCTCTGTTGCAACCAGCACCTCCCACGTGCCTGGAACACACTAGGCACCCAATCAATGCCGAACGAATGACATGAAACTAGGTCCACCTGACTTCAAAGCCCTTGTTTTTTTTTCTCCTGTACCTCGTTACCTCCTACATGAAGATGAATTTATTGTGAGACGCTCACAATAAATTGTCCACAAATACTTGGGTGTTTCTGGAGAGGCTTTCAAAACTATTCCCCCTTCGCATAGCTGGGCCACTGCCCTAGTTAAGACTCGTCAGCTCTCGTCCTCTCTTACCAGGAGGATTGCAACAGCTCTGTCTTAGGGTTATTTGTACTTTCATTAAAAAAAAAAAAAAAAAAAAATCTGATCAGCCTTGCTTTCGGAGCTATTGCTTTCTCTTCTGTGTCTCCCTGGTGGTCAAGATGGTGTTACCCAGCTTAATTTTGGTAGTTTGTAAATTTGGGTTATGAAAACGGTATTTTTCCCCTCACTTTACGGATATGAAACTAGAATATTGACTATGCCTTTTCATTTTTTTTTTAATTTTTTTTTTAACGTTTATTTATTTTTGAGACAGAGCCTGAACGGGGGAGGGTCAGAGAGAGGGAGACACAGAATCTGAAACAGGCTCCAAGCTCTGAGCTGTCAGCACAGAGCCCGACGCGGGGCTCGAACTCACGGACCGTGAGATCACGACCTGAGCCGAAGTCGGCCGCTTAACCGACTGAGCCACCCAGGCGCCCCTTGACTATGCCTTTTCAAACCACACACCTCTCCCTCAAAATTCAGAGGGGCCCCTCACCTGGAAATCACAGCCCTGCCTCATGTTCCCGGCTCAGGGATTTCTCCTCCCGGCAGCTAGAGGGATGTTTATAAATCCCTAATCTGCTTATATGGCTTTCCTGCTTCAAACCCAACCCTCATACGCTCATGTGCATGAGTCCTGCAGGGCAGAGGGCAGAGGGCAGGCCTCCTCCTCCAACTCACTGCCTGGCACGGTGCCTGGCACACAGCAAACTACTAAGCAGCATCAGTGAGCAAATGAATGAACAGACGTCTGTGGCACCCTAAGTCTGCATGTGGGCCTGAAATCCTGGGCCCTGGGTGGTGGGCCAGCACCCACAGACCCTTCCCCCCATTTCTGTTGCTCTAACCGAACCTTCTCCAACGCCAGCTCAGACTTCCCCAGGCTGCTTTCCGAAGCTGGGGCTTGGCCTCTGCCTGCCCCTCCCCAAGCCAGGCTGCGCACCCCAAAACCTCTTTCTTCCCCAGGTGGCTTGGAGGTCAAGAAGCTAGAGGCGACTACCTATAGACAACTCCAGGCACCTGCGGCTGTCCCCTTCCTCAGGAGCTGGGGCCTGGGGAAGGCAGGGCAACATCTGACCCCCGATCCCAGCCACTCACCCGGACAACCCGCCTCAGGGAGCCAATGCCTTGCTTGCTCCCTGCTGGCGACAGGGCTCCTAGTTCCAAATCTCCTTCCGGCAGGACCAGCTTCCGGCCCCGGAACGCTGGTTCTTCGTATAGCACCCAACTGTGGGCACAGAGACCCAGGGTCAGTGATGGGGAGAGGACGTACCCACAAGGCAGGGTGGTTGAAAGGGGTTTCTGCCAGGTTGGCCTGGGCGCATCTCACTGCCCTGGCATCCCCCAGGTCCACAAGCAGCCCCCCAGCCCCGCCCTGGCAGTCTGCACTCACCAGCCTCGAACCACCCTCACGGAGGCCATGCTGGCCCAGCCGGAGGTGTCGGCAACGTCTTGCCAGACCTCCTTGCTGCTGCCTTGGCAGCCAGGCTCTGAGAAGAGGATCATCTGGAGAAGACACAGAGGAAATCCTCAGGCCCTGTCCCTAGGTCCTTGCTTCCGGCTGCCCCCCCACCCCACGTGCCCACCCTACCTTTCCAGGCCTGGTGTTCCGCTTGCCCTGGGTCTTCAATGCTGGGCTCTGGCATGGAGGTGATAAAAAGTCTTACGGAGTTGCCTCCTTACCGCCTCCCCACAACCTGCCATTCCGAGGATCCCACGTATTCCCTGTTGGCCTCCACTCCCAAGGAGCTGGCCTGCAGAGGATGTCACCAACCTCCAGGGACCTTGTCACCCCATCCCAGGGGTGGGTGCCTCTTGCTCCCCTTCCCCAGCTTCCAAGAGATCAGGGCCACTAAGCCCTTTGGGCTTCACAGTGCAAACCTTCTGCTGTGTGAATAGGGCAACTGAGGCCCAGAAAGATGTGGCTTGTGTAAGGTCACACTGAACTAGACATCAGACCCAATCCTCTGGCTTCTCGAGACTCTGTTCCCAGCACCACGGTCCTCATACCATCCAGACCCTGCCCCAGGCAAGGCCAGGCACCCTCCCTTGCTCACCCAAGGCCTCACTCACCCACTCCTCCAGGGGCCGGGCACATGCAGGTTTCTCTGGCAGTAGCCTTTCACTGCAGAGCAGAGGCAGCTGTCCTGGCACCTTCCTGAGCCCTGGTGCCACGTGGGGTGGCAGAGCAGACAGTTTTGTGCCCAGTGGTTCCAAGGTGGGGGCCTCCTGGGTGCCAGGCACCCGACCTCCAAAGAGAAGGCTGCCTCCAAGACGGGAAATGGGCCTGCTCCCCGCCTGCCACTCGGGCCCCAGCTCTGGGTGGGGGCCCTTGGCATCTGCTACGTGCTTCTTCATCATCTCCAGAGGAGAACTAGAGGCCTGGGGGGACCTGGCAGGGCGAGAGGCCCAGGAGGAGCTGGGCCTGGAGCTCTCCTGCCTACGCTGGAGCTTCTCATCATCGCTTAGGTAAGGATTCTCTGGTTCTTCCTCCTCTTCTTCCTCCTCCTCCTCCTCTTTCTCTTCTCGTGTGGGCACCTCTTGGGGGCCGGGTCCCAGCACGCATGGTCCAGGCTGGTCCTCCTCGATGGCGGGCAACGTGGCATACATGGCCAGGTAGGAGGAGCGGGGGGCTCGTGGCAGCCGGTGAGTACGGAGGATCTCCGGGGGCTCCATGCTCCGCAGAGTATCCAGAAAAATCTCCAGGTCAGCAGCCAGGGCTACCTCCTCCTCCTTGGCTGTCTCTGGGAGCATCTTGCCCTCAATGGAGTCAGGGACAAGCTGCGACTCTAGACTGGCCTCTGCCCCCATCAGTACTGGGGCAGGAAGGCCTCCCGGGCTGGGGGACAACTTGCCTACGGAGGAGGGGTCAGGGAGAACAGCAGTGTCCTGGACAATCACTTTCTGGGTGGAAAACGGAGCAGCAGAAGCACCAGGACCCTGGATAGCCTCCTTTTGGGTCGGAGATGAGATGGGGCTCACTGCAGAGCCGCCAACAACCTCACCCTGCTGGGGGGATAGGAGAGTGGAAGCAGTCAGGCCTCGAACAGCCTCATCCTTGATGAGAGGAGCAAGGCCGCCTTCTATACTCTGGACAGCCTCTTTTTGGGGGCTAGGGCTGCCTTCTGGGGCCTGGACAACCTTGGCTGGCTTGGGGGATGAGGTGACAGGAGCACGGCGACCCTGCACAACCTCTTTCTGGGCGGGGGGTGGGTCAGCCAGAACACCAGGGCCCTGTGCTCTCTCTTTCTGGGTAAAGGAGAAAATAGTGACATCTTCAGAGTCCTGAACAAACGTATTCCTTGGGGGGGACGAAGCAGAAAGCCCTCCTGAGCTGGGGACAGCCTTCCTCCTTGTAGAAGATGGAGCAAGAGGCTGTCCAGGGACTGTAACAACAACCTCGGTCTTCACCGCGGGCGGGATGGTGACAGCAGAGGGATCTGTGAGTCCTTCCCTCTTTACAGAGGGCAGCGCCTGGGGTCCCCTGGGCTTGCCGCTGAGCTGGGTCCTAGGGTGAGTAGGCACCACAGGCTGCTCTGGAGGATGGACTGGGCCCAGGGAGGGGGGATGGGCCTGGTGTCTGGGAGAGGAAGGTAATGGTGCATGGTCCTGAGAAGTCTGGAGAGGGAGCTGGGTGGAGCGGGGGGCTCCCTGCACCCTTGGGACCTCAGAGGCTCTGGCCTCTGGGGCTCTGCTCTGGTCTTGGTCTGGGTGAGCTGCAGGGACGTCCAGGTTCTGAGGTGGGTGTACATCCTCTGGGATGCGTGCAGGGGCCAGAGCAGATCTGTCCTTTGGCTCTGCCATCCCCGTGTCAGGCAGCTGCCCCAAGGCTGCCCCCGCCGTGCTGCCCAGACCCGGGCTCCTTGGCACAACAGCCGTGGGCCTAGGAAGCCGGCTGGCAGGTAGGCTACGCTCGCCAGGCACAAGGCTACTAATCAGCTCCCGGGCTTGACTGCGGCTAGGTGAGCCCTCAGCTTGGGGGCTCACCACCACTGCCCGTGCGACGCGAGCAACATTGCGGCCCCGTGGCAGGGCCTCGCCCGAGAGCACTGGCCCCACAGTCACAGAGCTGTTCACCCGTCGCTCCACATGCCCTCCCACCACCACGGTGGTCTGCACAGTGCGTGTCACTCGCCGTTCCTCGAGGCTCCGGGGGCTCCCGCTGATGAGACTTACACCCGGGTGGGGGCTTGGCTCGCGGGGCCCAGGCAGGGGCACCAAAATCTCAGTCCTGGCCACGGCTCCCCGGCTTGCTGGCTCAGTCCTGGGCTCCTGGGGACTGCCATCGCCCTGGCCTATGGCCTCCTTCAGCCTTCCCACTGGCCTTTTCTCCTTGGGGGCTAGTATGTACTTCTTGGAAAAGATAGGCCCATGGCTCTGGAAGCTCCTGGAGTCAGCCTCATCCCGGGGTCCCTGGCAATTTATCGTTGTTTCTTCCCGTGCTGCAAAACCATTGACTTCCTCTCGGCCGTGGCTGTACTCAAGCGTCTCCTCCGAGGGGGCTTCTATCCGGGCCCCCGACACCAGGGACACCTTGTGAAAACGGTGTCTCATCTCTTCCTGGGCAGGGGGCCGCCGCCACATCAGCGTGGCACTCACCACTGGAGCCTCAGCCTGAGTTGGGGGCCCACCTGCCTCCTCCATGTTGGGCCCCAGCAACCTGTCCTGAGGCGTCCTTGGCTCACTGTAGTCCAGCTGCCTGCAGATGGTGCCAGGAAGAAGAGAGACAGAGTCAGGGGGTGGTGAGAGTGATTCTCGGCAGGACAGAGGCACCACCCCTGCCAAGCCCGAGCTCAGTAACCCCAGGCAAGTCATTTGACTTTTTGGGTCTTTGTTTCTTCATCTGTAAAATGGGCGTGATACTCCCAGCTCTCCCACTATCTCCCCACTTTCAGATGGTCCCCAATGCCAGGGGTTCTTCAAGGGGTGAACTTGAGGCCTGAGCCTAAAGGAGAGAGAAGGGAGACAGCAAAAAAGCATATGGGGCAGACTCACTGGTCTATGGAAGGGGCTGCGACTCTGCCCAAGGAGCCCTGGGTCTAGTCCTCCAAGGAGCCAAAAACTAGAAAACCAGGCAACTGTTCTGACCCTGTTCCTGACCATTATAAGGGAAGGGAAGGAAAGGTGGGCTGTGACCTCAGGCAAAGCTGAGCTTCCCCTGACCCTATTGCTTACTAGCTGGATGATCTTGGGCCGGCCGCTTCTCCCCTTCGAGCTTCAGGATCCCCAGCCACAAAACTGGAACGGTAAGGACATGTTTCATAGTTATTGTCCGGCTCCAGTAAGAGAAAAAGAATGAAAAGTCGCTTAAAAATGAAACCACTGGGGCACCTGGGTGGCTCAGTCAGCTAAGCGTCTGACTTCAGCTCAGGTCACGATCTCGTGGCTCGTGCGTTCGAGCCCTGCATCGGGCTCCGCACTGACAGCGCGGAGCCTGCTTTGGATCCTCTGTCTTCCTCTCTCTCTGCCCCTCCCCAGCTCTCTCTTTCTCTCTCAAAAATAAGTAAACATTAAAAAATAAAAAGGAAACCACTGGCGCATAGATTTCCTACAGTCGCCTCGGAGAACCGTGACCAAATGTTAGCAGGCGTGCACACGCATGTACCGGCAAGAGCATGTTGGTGATAGCTGTCCGAGCCTAAGTGCACATCTGAGTGCATCTGTGGGCCTGAACGAAGCCCAGCAGGACACAGCACTTTGGATTTGAATGTATTTTCCCTCAATTTTCTCCTCTGGGATTATTTGTGCAGATGAAGAAACTGAGGGTCAGAGAAGAGGAGTGGCGGGCCCAGGGTGACGGAGATGCTGAGTCACCAGGCTGCGGTTAGAAATCACGTCTGAGAGGAGCCTGGGTGGCTCAGTCGGTTGAGTGGCGGACTTCAGCTCAGGTCATGATCTCGCGGTCCGTGAGTTCGAGCCCCGCGTCGGGCTCTGTGCTGACAGCTCAGAGCCTGGAGCCCGTTTCAGATTCTGTGTGTCCCTCTCTCTGACCCTCCCCCATTCATGCTCTGTCTCTCTCTGTCTCAAAAATAAATAAACATTAAAAAAAAAAATTTTTTTTTAAAAGAAATCACGTCTGAGTCCGTGTCCAGACAGCTTCCTCCTGTCCCCTAGGCCAAGGCTCTGAGCATATCCCGCTATTCCTGTGAGCCTCTTCAGTAGACACATCTCAAATTCCGATCTTGAGAGCCGGGGCCTGGGTCTTACTTTGTTTTCTGACACCCCCTCGATCTCTCTGGGTCTCCATTACCTCCTTTACTGGATAGGGGGTCATAATACCAACTGCCTAAGAAGAAGACCTCTGTTCTCTAGAAACTCTCAGGTGAATCTCTCTGGTTTAATAGGAATAGTAATAATAGGGGCACCTGGGTGGCTCAGGTGGTTAAGCATCCGACTTCGGCTCAGGTCATGATCTCACGGTTCGTGGGTTCGAGCCCCGCGTCGGGCTCTGTGGTGACAGCTCAGAGCCTGGAGCTTGCTTTGGATTCTGTCTCCCTCTCTCTCTGCTATCTCCTCCCATTTCTTCTCCTGCTCTGTCTCTCTCTCTCTCAAAAATAAATAAACATTAAAAAGAATGGTAATAGTAATAATAACAGCCATGTGTTGAGGGCTTACTCTGGGCCAGGCTTGCTAGCTGCTTTATGTTCATTGTCCTACTGAATCTTCAAAAGAATCTCATGCATTTGATGCCTCAAAGAATAACTTATAAACAAACATTCCCATTTTGCAGAAGAGGACAAAAAAAGGCTCAGGGAGGTTAAGAAACTCGCCCAGACTCTGCGCTGTCAGCGCAGAACCTGCTTGAGATTCTCCCTCTCTCTCTGCCCCTCCCCTGCTTGCACTCTCTCTGTCTTTCTCAAAAAGAAAAAAAGAAAAGAAACTTGCCCAGAATCACACAGCGGCAGAGGCAAGACTGAACCCCAACTCTATATGCTTAACCACCAAACCAAACTCCTTAATGTAATTATCTGGTGAACGGAGACCCTGGTTTGGAGGTTTACTTTTTTTTTTTGTTTTATTAAATTTTTTAAACATTTATTCATTTTTGAGAGAGAGACAGAGAGATAGCATGAATGGGAAAGGGGCAGAGAGAGAGGGAAACACAGAATCCAAAGCAGGCTCCAGGCCCTGAGCTGTCAGCACAGAGCCCGTGGGCTCGAATTCACAGACCGCGAGATCATGACCTGAGCTGAAGAAGTTTGACACTCAACGCTCAACCGACTGAGCCACCCAGGCGCCCCTGGAGATTTACTTTTAAAGGGAACCACAGTAGTCCTTGAGGGACCACCCGGCCCCCACCCCAACTTCCAAGCTGCACTGACCAAGACAGTCTTATTGTCAGATCTCAAGGACCCAAGAGGTCAGGCCTTTCATCCTTAGCCTCAGGGCCAGCCTGTCTTTAAGGCCACTCCTCCTATCCATGAGGCAGCCCCTGGGGGCCATTATAAGAGAAGCTAAGGCCAGAAATGCACCTATGCCCCCAACTTCCCTCCCCCATTTCTATCTTCTTCCCTCCTGAGAGCCTGATGGAACCCAGAACTTTGATCCTGCTCTGTGGCCCTCACAGTGACTCAGGTTTTATGAGGAGCAGAGATGAAAGGGGTTGAGGCCCAGGGAAGCCTGCTTGACTCCAGAACCATGGAAGCTATGAGTGCCCTGGAACAGCCTTGTGAATGGGAAAGGTAGGGGGCTGACATGAATCCCCAATCCTTTCCTCAGACCAGAATTCCTGAGAGCAGGACACAACCAGACGCCTGAGGCCCTAGATCACAGCCCTTGGCTGAGGCCCTGGCCTCCTCCTGTCCTCACTAAGGGGTCCCTTTTCTTCCATCAGAACCCTGTCTGCTTGCTGGGACTCCTGACAAGGAGCTCACCTTTTCGCTGAGCCCCCCACTGAGTCTCCTCTTAATTTCTGAAAAAATAGTAAGCACGATTTCAGTGAGATTCCCTACCCCCGAGGGCATTGATAGTAAGTGGCAGAGCCTGGGTTTTAAGTCATTGATCGATTGATTGATTGATTGATTGATTCATTCATTCATTCATTCATTCATCCAATGCTAACAGTTTTAGGTGATGTGTTAGGCCCTGCTTTGTTGTACCCAGAAGTGGTATCCTAGGAGTCCAGGGATCAAAGAATTCGATTTAAAAACAGGAACCACATTTGGAAGGCCCCATTGGTTTTGGCAAAGCAACCGAAGAAGAGCTTCAAAGGAAGCCACTGGTCATCAGATCAAATACTGTAAATGACCTGCCAGCAAGTAGGATTCCACGCCTTTCTCAAGCCAGCCCAGCCCGTGAGCAACACCCCTGCCAGTCACTCATTCCATAAACATGTGCTCATCGCCTTCTGCCTGCACATTTCTAGGATACAGAGGTCACCATTTGACAGTTGACCTGTCCCATCCCTGGACAGTCATGACTGCTAAAGTGTTCTTCAAACTCTGCTGGAAATCTGCCTGCCCATAGCTGCCCCCTTTCATCCTTGCTCTGAAGACACCCCCCGATGACCCAGGATGCCCTTTCTAGGCTAGCAGAAGTCCTCATTCCCACAGCCATCTCTTTTTCAGGGGCCCAGACCAACATGGACCTGTGGGCAGGGTGACTGTGACCTCCAAGCGAGGTGTGTGGGGCAGGAAAAGGGAGAGGCTGAGGAGGGGGTGGGGGGAGTGTGGGAAAGAGCCTCGTCTAACCCAACAAGTCCTGGATTCTCCCCGCTTACCTGTGAGTCACCCCCAAACTAGGCCAAACCAGTCCACAGGCCCACAGGCCCACAAACACACGCTGCGTCACACAGGCACACACTGACACACAGTCACTAGCACGGACCCACCGAGTCACCCAGGCACAAAGACAGACCGGGACGCTTACACGGACCCACACGGTCAGACACAGAGTCAGAGTTACAGACACTCAGAGACACAGTGGACGTGCAGGTCACACACGCGTGGAAACACACAGACACAATGACACACGTGTCTGTTCACAAGACACACAGGCCACTCACAGCCGTCCCCCTCCTCCTCCTCGTGAAATTTGCCTGCACTTGAACACGGACACACACGTGGACGCACACGTATCTTACACATTCCCACTTACAGCCCCAACTAGTGTCGCGCCTCCCCCCGTCCCAATATCTGCCAATCCTGGCCCAGATATGCTTCCCCAGGAAGGGGACCTAGAAGGAGGCTATCCCTGGGGGTCTGCTTCCTGCTTCTGCACCTGAGCCTTAGCCTCTGGTTAGAGTCTGTCATTAGCTACCGAGTCCCCAAATAGCCAGGGAGTGGCAGATAGAGCCCAGGTCCCCTCAGCTGAACCTACTGCTTCTTCCCTCTCCTCTCCGAGGTCTGCCTCTGCTGCCTACCTTCCCTCTCTCTGCAGCCCTTCTCTCCCAGCTGGGGCACCGGAGCAGGTCTCTGAGCAAGCCCGGGTCCACCTCTCCCTCTTCCTTGCCACAGGACGAGGGACCCCAACTCCTGCCCAGGGGTCTGGGCATTCCTGCTGCTGCCAAATCCACCTCCGCGAGGTCCCTGTAAACCCTCTACGGCAACCGCATTCGACCCTCTGCCGTCTGCACAGGACCAGCGAAGCCTCCGGGAGAGGCAGGATAAAGCAGTGGTTAGAGCACAGGCATCCAGGTTCAAATATCTGACCCCTCTGCTTTCTAGTTGACTTTGGGCAAGTGATGTAACCTCTCTGAGCCTTAGTGTCCCTATTGTAATGGGGGCGGTGAGCAACTTTAGTCCTACTTCATGGGGCTATTTGAGGACTGAAACGAATTATGCTTAGAAAACAAGCCACAAATAATAGCCACCACCATCATCACTAGGAACTTTTCAGAGCCCGGTTTGAGGCCTGGCGGCCCTAGAGATGTTACCCCCTCCTCAGTGAGTTTGAGGGGACCCACCCTTCTAGCTCTGGGCCTACCAGGCAGATTTAGGAGAGTCATTTCCATACAAATAAAAACGAAGGCTTGGGAGCCTTGCGCTGTTCCTATGGTAACCACCCCAGAGCCAGGTAGGGTAATTATGCTGCGACAGAGGCGTTAGTAACAAGCATCCCTACTATTTGGACAGACCAATTCCTGGAGTTCAAAGCATGTCCTGTGTCCACCTCCTCCTTCCTCACCTCCAGCTACCAAATCTACTCAACAACTCAAGACCCAGAGAGGTTAAGCAGCTTGCCCCTGGACACCCAGCGCTTAGGCTGGGTGCCCATTCGCAGGCTGGGTCTGAGGTCTCCTGAACAGCACCAGGGAGTGAGTGGTGGGTGTTGCTGAGAAGGTGACCCTCCCCCATCTCTTCTATGACAGGCTATCTCCCTCCTCAGGTGGACAGAGGAGGAGAGCAGTTCCTGGAGGCAGCCTGTGGGTGAGGGGAGGGAGAGGAGGGCAGAGCTGGGGTCGGGAGGAGATGGTACAGTCAGCTCATGCTCAGGGAGCTGAATGAATGAGCCTTGAATTGGAAAAGCCCAGAGACCAGAGACCCGAGAGCGACAGCCAGGCCGGTTTCCCCTCCTGTTGTCGCCCCATGTGGGGACTGACCTCTACTCACCGTCTGCGTGGGGATCTAGGTGTCCAGTGGGCCCGGAGCTCCTGCTGCTGGGCTGTGATCTCCCGATGCAGTGGGGCTCTCGGCCGGGGTTCCTGGGGCAGGTCTGTCAGGCACCCCGTGATGGGGCGGGGCCCCTGGGGAGGCTCCCGCCAGCCCCTGGATTCCTCAGGGCCGCAGGGGTGGAGAGCTGGTTGGGCCGGTTTAGGCTCCTCGTGCTCCTCCCCAGGTGCCTGCCCATGGCCCTGTAGGGTGATAGTGATGTGGTAGCGGGTCCTCCTGGCAGAGGGACTCCGGGGCAGGGTCTGGGCTGGACCTGGCAGCGCCGGCCCTGCTGGCACAGGCTCGCCCTTTGCCCCCTGGGCCGTGGGGAAGGATGCTGGGCGGGGCAACAGGTCTTCCAGGCGGCCGTGTGGCTCAGGCCTCAGAGGAACGTCTGGAGCAGTGTAGGGGGGTTGCAGGCAAGCGCAGCCTGAGGTTCCTTGTTCCAAACACCCAGGAGCAGCAGCGGGCACGAGGGCCAAGTCTCTAGCAGTCTCTGCTGCCAGCGCCAGGCTCTCCGGTCCCACGGAGGCACAGTTGGCCAGGTCAGAAGCACTGCCCACAGCTGGCCTCCATAGGCGCCCCAGGGGTTGAGTGGGTCCCCCTGAGCTGTGTCGTCTCTTCCAAAGCCAGGAACCACGGCTCCCTGCCCGAAGGTCCCATTCTGAGCAGCTCTGGGATTGGGCCTGGGGGAAAGCAGAGACAGGGGTCCGGCAACAGCACTTTCTCCTGTCCCCCCAAGTGCCTCTGAACACCCTTGACTGCCCTCCTTGGCACAGGAGAAGCTGAGCAGAGGTGCCGTAAGGTCCGTGAGAACTAGACAAAAGGGCAGAGCTCTGGGAAGGCCCACGGCATTTAACTCACCCCCTCCCATTCTACATATGAGGAAAGTGAGGCCCAGAGAGGACACTGACTTGACTAAAGTCACTCAGTGAGGGCCCAACTCTCAGGCCGACTGCTGCCTTCCCAGGCATCCACAGGCCTCTGGCCCTGTGGCACCAGCTGCTCTGGGGATTAGGGGCTGCATGGGCATGCGTGCTCCAAGCGCCTGTGGCCTCTGCCTGCTTCGGGCTTCCAGACAGCTCGCAGCCCCCTCCCCAGTACCCTCACAGCCTGAGATTTCCAAACACACTGGGCGCAGAGGTGCACCTGAGCCGTGGGGGAGCCAGGGAAGGGGGTTCCCCAGAAAGTGGGGCAAACCTAACCTCCATCTGCTGTCTTCCTCTGGGGCCCAGCTGGGCCGTGGGAATGAGAAGACAGGGCCAGGGATCCCAGATCCATATGGACACCGCTCCCCAAACCACCAATTTTCAGGGACAGGCTTGTGTCCTTGGCAACAGAGGAGCCACGTCTGGGGTCAAAATTCCTCCTAGCAGCGGCCCTTGATCCCAAATACGTCAGTTTACTCATCTATGAAATAGATTCAGTCTCTCTTTCCTCAGGGGCTAAACACCTCAAGAGGGTACAGTGGTTAATGTAGGGGCCTGCAGCGAGGCAACCCGGGCTCAGATCCCAGCTCTGGTACTTCCTGGCACACTCTCAGTGTCCCCGTGTGTAAAATGGGTGTGATAATAACAGTACCTGTTTCCTGGGAGTGCTGTGAAGACTGTAGGAGATAAGCCGTGCAGGGTAACCGGCACATAATGAGTACTCAATTAAATGCTAGTTATTACTAATGGCATTCAGGACCACAGACACATGGCTGCTTGAGCCACTTCCAGAGAAGGCTATTTGCTTCTCTAAAGGGAGGACACCCCGTCACTGTTCAAGCCATGGCTCGGGTCTCCACTGAAGACGGGGATACTGTGGCCAGAGGGTTAAACCACTGGCCCAGCTTTACCCCCTGGGGAGCCATGCCAGGAAGGCGGGGTCCAAAGATGAGACAAGGTCAAGCTAGAGGAGGGAGGGTGGAGAAGGGGGTCCTGGGAATAGGCACTGGCCCTCAGCACCTCCCCAGAGGGCCTGAGCATTACGAAGCTTATGCTTCCAGAACAGCTAGTGCCTCGTGCTGGATGTTTTACATGTTTACTTTCTTTCTCACAACACCTCTGAGCTGCATTATTGTCCCCATTTTGCAGATAGGGAAACTGAAGTTCAGAGGTGGGGGAGGGGGGACATCTACTCAGGGTCACACAGTGAATCAGTGGCAGAGGGAGGATGAGAGAACTCCGGGTTCTCAGGGCCTGCCCAGCTCCTCCCCAAGCTTCTGGCCCTCCTCCTCTCCCACCCCTTCGGATTCTTTCTTACCTTGAGGCTGACATTGTTGGTGCTGCCCAGGCCCTGGGCCAGGTCAGGGCAGCTCTGGCCACCCCAGGGCCTAGGAAGGAAGCAAAGGGAAGGGAGTGAAGTAGCTTCCTCCTCTCCCACCCCTAGACTGGAACTTGGGGTCCTTCCCCACTTCTCTCAGGGCACACAGGCAGGCTGAGCTCCTGAAACCTTGCGAGTGGGGCAAGGTCTATGCAGCAGCCTCCTCTCTGCTCCCTCCCCCAGCTGTGTACTCCCAAAGAGAGAGAAAGAGACAAGGATAAGCTTGAGGCAAAAAAAAAAGAGACAAGGATAAGCTTGAGACCTACAGACTAGGTCTGTAGTAGGGTCAGAATATAGAAGCAGGACAGCACCTCAATAATTCAAAAGCTTGCCATTTGTGGAGGCCCTCCCCATGCCATGCCGGGCTTAGCCTTAGGTATGGTGCTCATATGATCTTCTTCGAGCCTCACAATAATCCTAGAAGGTGGATATTATGCCCATAGTTTTTCAGTAAGGAAACTGAAGTCCAGAAAGGTGAAGTGACTTGCCTGGAGTCACACAGCTAGTGACCCTTGGAGTTAAGACACTAGGACCGTCCCACTCCAAAAGCTGGTTAGACATCACAGCACTAATGGGGGCAAGATGGGGAAGTGCCTTGACTGCCTCCTCCATGCACCTTGCGCCCAACTCCAGGCAATCAGCAGGGATCAGAGGCCTGTGCCTTAGTGCTGGAGTCCTATTCCCACGTCTGGTGAGAACCAACTCCAAGTGCATGCATGGGATGTATCATCACTCTGGCCCACGAGCATGTGCAGTCCCTCCCCTGTCCTCCCAACCCCTGACTCACCTGCATGCCAACCCTGCCTCCTCTCAAGTGGAGAAAGGGAGGGGCAGTGCCACCTGGGCCTATAGGGCAGGTTCCTGCCATACAGGGTAATGGGAGAGGGTGTGTCTTCCAAGTGGGGGCGGACAGGGCAGTGTCAGGGTGTGGGTACTCCCCCCCCCCCCACCGGGGCATCCAGGCTTCCAGGCTTTCAGGGTGGCTAGGCCCTCCCCTCCCCTCTCTCTTTGGTGTGGAAGAACAGTACAACCCCTCCTCTCACTCTGCCCCCATCACGCTCCCACCCCTCCCAGAGGGGCCAAAGACAGCTCTGTCATGATAAGATCAGAACAAATTGCTGGATAACTCCGTAGATACACAATACCCCGTGCCTGAGAGCACATTCCTAGCTCTTTTCAGATTCCACTGTGAGCTGCTGGGATCCTCTTCACTGTCCTCCCTCCCAGCCATTCAGCTTTGCCGTCCAGAGCCTTTTCCCTTTCACTTAGACATTAGCCACCAGTGAATGGGCTCAGAGAGGAAGCAATTTGTTCAAGGTGACAAGCCCAGTGGCACCTAGGGTTAGGATGAGGCTCTGGCCCCCTGGCTCTGCAGTCCTGAAATCTCTCTAGCACATCCAGGGCTTTCAGGATGTAGGCTCTGGAGTCAGGCCACTTAAGCCTGTAACCAGGCTCGGCCACTTCCCAGCTGTGTGACTGGGCAGGTGACTTCACCTCTCTGAACCTCCATTTCTATATCTGAATCACATGAAATACCTGCCTCGTAAGAGCTGCTGTGAGGATTAAACGAGATAATCCAGGTAGGGCATGAAAGGCAAATAAAGTTTATTGTTATTACAGTCTGGGACGACAGGGGAAATCCTTTCTGTGGCACATAAGGGCAAATGCAGTGCAGTTGGAGGCAATTCAGGTACCTGTCCTGCTCATGACAAAGGGAACGAAGACCAGAGGTAAACTGGACTGTGATGTGAGAATCAAAGTCCACAGGGGCAGGGGGAGCTACCGCATTTGCCTTTAAACTGTGTCAGGAGAGGAAATCACTGTCTGCAGGCCGCCTGTCGCGTTTACGGAATTGCAAAAGTTGTTTTAAAGTTTTAAAAGAGCACAGATACTTTTATAAAGATCGTTTTCACATTCACGTATCCAAAATCTTAGTACACTGACACGTATATTTTTATGCTCCGAGACACTCATACATGCTTATTTGAACATCCACTACGCGCTCACTCACTCACACACGCGCGCGCGCGCACACACACACACACACACACGCACACACACATCCCTAGGGCCAAGGGGAGCCCCTGCGGCCCTCCTCCATCCCCCTCACCTATCCCGAGCTCTGGCCTCCTCCGGGGTCCTCTTCCCCCTGCGCTTCCTCCCGAGCCCTAGCCCTGCCAAGCGGCGGGCCAGGCGTGCCCCCAGGCCCCCGTGCCGCTCGGCCATGGCAAAGGCAAAGTCCCGGGCTTCGGGACACCAGACCGCTCCGGAGCCCCGGGGGCCACCCGGATCCGCTTATTTGCAGGGAAACGCCTTCCCCGGCCCGCCCCCCGGAGCAAACAGCGGCCCCGCCCGCACTCGGGACGGGCGGGGGACTGACCCAGATGCTACCCTTGGCGCAGGGCACGGGGTGCGCTCCGCAGGGGCCGCCCCCAACCCGGGCCGCTCCGCCAGAGCCTCGCCCACCCCCGCCCAGGCCATGCTCTCAGTCAGGTCCGCGCTACTTCTTTAGGCATGGGGAGGCGCCAGGGGTACACCGGGTGCTGGCAGCCCCCATGCTGGCCTTGCACGAGGTGGGCGGGGAAAGAGGAACCTAGGTCCTGCGGGGGTCAAGAGGCAGGGAGGAATGAGAGGTCTCTCCCCTCCCCCGAGAAGGAGGGGCTAGAACGCAGGGGCGGGATCAAGACCGGTGTGGGCTTGGTCTTGCGGAGTGGGTGGGGCCTAGCCCGAGGGGTTGGCATCTGGCGCAGAGCCAAAGAGGTGACGAGGTGGGCTTAAACTCGGACCTTGATTACTGCGGGGAAGGTCAAAGCCCACCCCGCCATTGCCCTGACAAGAGGGGCTCCCCATAAGAGTTTTCTCTTGCGCTCCTGGGGAGCCTACAACACAGGGTGAATCTTGCCCAGTCCCTGGTGGGGAAGCCGCTCTCAAACCCACAGGGGTGCGAATGGAGGCCCCCTGCTGGAAGTTGGCCAGTTATTACTGGGGTTTTTTTAGTTTATTTAACTTATTTTCTTGATTTATATCCAAGTTAGTTAGCATATAGATCAACAATGATTTCAGGAGTAGATTCCTTAATGCCCCGCACCCATTTAGCCCATCCCCCCTCCCACAACCCCTCCAGTAGCCCTCTGTTTGTTCTCCATATTTAAGAGTCTCTTAAGTTTTGTCCCCCTCCCTGTTTCTATATTATTTTTGCTTCCTTTCCCTTATGCTCATCTGTTTTGTATCTTAAAGTCCTCATATGAGGGAAGTCATATGATATTTGTCTTTCTCTGACTAATTTCGCTTAGCCTGATACCCTCCAGTTCCATCCACGTAGTTGCAAATGGCAAGATTTCATTCTTTCTCATCGCTGAGTAATACTACATTGTATATAGAAACCACATCTTCTTCATCCATTCATCAGCCAATGGACATTTGGGCTCTTTCCACACTTTGGCTATTGTCGATAGTGCTGCTATAAACATTGGGGTGCACGTGCCCCTTCAAAACAGCACACCTGTGTCCCTTGGTAAATACCTTGTAGTGCAATTGCTGGGTCCTAAGGAAGTTCTATTTTTAATTTTTTGAGGAACCTCCATATTGTTTTCCAGAGTGGCTGCACCAGTTTGCATTCCCATATTACTGTTTAATAATAGCTATTGGTATTTTCTTATACTTTATTTATTTTGAGAGAGAGAGAGAGCACCCTCACATGAGTGTGTGGGGGGGGGGGCCCCGGGGGAGAGGGGGAGAGAATCCCAAGCAGGCTCTGTACTGGATCTCACAAATCGTGAGATCATGACCTGAGTCCAAATCAAGAGTCGGTGGATTCTTAGCCACTGAGTCACACCCAGGCACCCCAATAATAGCTACTGTTTATTGTGATTAATAATCTTGCTTCTCAGGCAGTGCCCTTTCCCCACCTGTTGCTAACTCCCAAGTGGGGGGCAGAAGACCTTGCACATCTGAGGGCATCCTCTGGGACTGCAGAGAGAAAGGTCATCAGGAGGGTCCTAGGTCCTCAGGCTCTCTTTGCCAGTTCTTCCCTCCTTATACTCCTTGTAGAGCCTCTACCTCTTCCCTGAGCTCGCACCTCCTTAGCCCTTTGCCCTCTTTGGTGGCTGGTCCTGGCACACAGGGGGATATCTTGCTTCCGGGTCATGAGTAGACATCGACATCCTTGTGTTCTTGTCCCTCCACCCCACAGGGGGCTCAGCTCCTAGCAGGTGCAGAGGGAGGAGCTCACCCCACCCCCTGACCGTGGCAGGGAATACCAGCTAAGGAGGCACAGTGGCTTCTTACGAACTGTGAGACAAGAAGGTGGTGGGAAGCAGCAGACATGCATCTGGGCAGGTGCTGGAACATCTGTTCAGGAAAAAGAGCAATGTGCCCGGTGCGTGGCAGCAGTCTGCACCATGCAGAGTCCTGGAAGGCCGAACTACCCACTGGCAAGCTGAGATTGAAGGGCCTCGTCCCAGACCGGGAGCAGGAGATGGCTGCCTGCCCCACCCCAGGGGAGAGCATCACAGAATCTCCGTGGCTGTGTCCCCTGACCTGGTGGATTGCGAAGTCTGACCAATACACAGTGGCTTCCCCCGCCACTGTTGAAGCTCAGGAGGCCTCGGCTTGCCATAGAGAAAAATCCTTTAATCACTCTGCCCTGCCTCCTCCCCAGGACAGTCCTGGCACCAGGGCTCAGGCTGGCTGCCCTTACTTGCCCCAGATGCCAAGGACCTCTTGACCTTTTCCGAATCCCAGCCCAGCTGCCTCTCTGATGACACCCCCACAAGACCTAGGGCTTCCTGGTGCCATCGGGCAAAGCAGGCAAGAGACGCCAGGGGCAGGTGGGTGTGAGCTAGGCCGCAGGGCCGGCGCGCATGCAGCCGCTGGTGCAGCTTCAGGTGAACATGCCGGGTGAAGCGACTTGGGCAGACACTGCATCCGAAGGGCCGGGCCCCTGAGTGCATCCGCAGGTGGGTCTTGAGGTTGCTGGAGCTGCTGAAGCGCTTGTGGCACATCTGGTGGGAAGGGGCGCTGGTGTCAGCTCTGCTCACCTGGCTGGCTCAGGAGCTCTGCTCCCCTCCCCACCTTGGACACCCCCCCCACCCCCTGTAATGCAGGCCCGGAAGCTTTCCCCTGATGATTTCTCCCTGGGACCCACAGCGTCTGGCCCATTGGATGGAGCCAGGCAGACCTGGGTTAGTATCCTGGTTCTTACTCCCTGTGTGACCTCTCATAGGTGACTTCTGTCTGAGCCTTGGTTTCCTTATTGGTAACACATTACTATAAACACCTAACCTCACAGGGATGATGGACTGAACGAGATAATCACATAGGACCCTCGTGCGTGGGTCTACAGCTTTAGCGGGCGTAATTAACATTTACTGGGAGCCGCGGCATGCCAGGAGTTGGTCTCACATCGTCTTCCCCAGGACCCTGGAGAAGCATGACTAAGTACCAGTATACCTCCTATATTTCAGCGAGAGAGCAAGGCTCAGAGGAGGCGAGCCACTAGCCAAAGATCACACAACAAGCTGGAGGTAGAGCTGGAATTTGAACCCAAGTAGCCCAGACTTAGAACCTCTATATTTCTTTCACGACTGCCTCTGTAAAACGGGGGAAGCATTCCTGCTGTTCTGACTTCCCAAGGGCTGTGGTGAGTTTCAGAGAGAGGGAGCTAACACCAAGCTGGTGTTACCCGTAGTGCGTACTTTCACACACTGGGCCTTTTACTTCTGCAGCAGCCCTGGGAAGCAGGTAATAGGTATTCACTCCCCAGCACCCCCAACTTTGTTATTCTCCTCCCATAGGCCTTCATCTCTATTCCTCACGCCAGGCCCAGGGAGTGAGCTCCCTTATCACATTCTGGCCCTTCCAGGCTGACTCGGGTCATTTTCACCTCCCTCCACCGCCCTCCCCACCTCCACCCTTGCCTCCAGTCCTGTCTCCACCTGCTCGGGAGGATTGGGGAATAGAGGCTACAGGTGCCATCCCTCCGGGGCCCTGGAACTACTCACCAGCCCCCAGGAGTACAGGGGAGGGGAAGTAGGGTCTCACCAGGCACTCGTGGGGCCGCTCCCCGGTATGCACCAACTGGTGCTTCTGCAGGTGGGCGAGCTGAGTGAAGCGCTTCTGGCACAGGGCACACTGGAATGGGCGCTCCCCGCTGTGCACACGCAGATGGACCTGAGCCAGGTGTGGGACAAATGTTGCCAACTGCCTAGACCCCACCGGCAGGGTCTGGGATCCTGTCCCAATCTCTCCCCACATCCCCACGGGACCCCTATTTAGCCCTGAGGCTTCTCAATCCCCTTGCTTCTCTATCACTCCCCCCAGGGCCCCTCTTGCCTTTCCCCAGGATACCCTCACTCTTTCTGCTGCCCTGCAGGAGGGGACATGACAGTGGTCAGAAGGCTAGGTAAGGCGGTGCGACTCAAAGTGTGGTCCACAGACCAGCAGCGTCAGCACCATCTGGGAGCATGTTAAAGATGCACGTTCTCATTAACTAACAAACAAACAAATAAACAAATAAATAAATAATGAGGTGCCCGGGTGGCTCATTTGGTTAAGCCTCTGACTCTTGATCTTGGCTCAGGTCATGATCTCCCGGTTCGTGAGATCGAGCCCCGTGTCAGGCTCTGTGCTGACAGTGTGGATCCTGCTTGGGATTCTCTCTCTGGCTCTCTCTCTGCCCCTTCCCCACTCGTGCTCTCTCTCCCTTGTGTTCTCTCTCTCACAAAATAAATTTTTTAAAAAATGCAGATTTTCAGGCCTTGCCCCAGGCCAGCTGACTCAAGATCCCTGGGGTTGGAACCTAGGAGTCTGCATGTTTCCCAGCTCTCTGGGTGGTTTGAGGCTCATTAAAATTTAAGCACCCATGCCCTGGGGACCCGGAAGCGTCCCTCCTCAACAACCATAATATTTCCTCAACTTCAGTGTCGCCAACATGTGTGTAGATCCCCATCTCTGCTGACACACAGAGATGTGCCCATGGGGTCCCCTCTGGGCGATGTGGATGATGGTCCCAACGGCACTGTGCTGCTTCATGGGGTCCCACGTGAAAAAAGCTGGTTGTCAGGTGGGTGGCCTGGGCTCACTAAAATTTATGCCCCCACCAGACCTTCAAACAAATAAACAAGAAGAGGCTTAACTGGGGATCCAGAAAGGGCTTTGCACTAGATGTTGAGAGGCTAATATCAAGGCCTAACTTCACCATTAAATCGAAGTAACTTTGGGCAAAACTTTCCCTCAGTTTCCCCATGTTTGAGTGCAGTGGACGCTCTCACAGACTATCCCTTAGAGTGGAG